ACAAATTATTATTGGATATCTTCTCTAAACAAAAGTTTTCCCAAGTGTTGATCGAGGTACCTTGAAGTACAATGCAGGCTTTTTAATTTCATTTGGATCTCCATAACAGATTGTCAAAATTTCTTCTACTTCATAGATTTCACCATCATCTCCATCATTCCCATCTTTTTTAGTATTGCTGCCACCTTCGTCCTCTTCCTTGTCTTCACACACAGTATCTTTGTGTGTTGAATCATTGCTTTCAGTAGTTGATAAATAGGAGGCACAAAGCTTATCCCACTCCTTTAGCAGGCACAAGAAATCCTCCGCAGATTCATTTCTCACCTGAATTAGCAAGTTATGCATCCACAAATGCAATTACTAACAAGTCAACATAACAGAAGGACCATTTTCTGTAATAAGATGTACCTCTGTCTCTGGATGATTTAGCTTCAGGCTTTCACATGCAAATTTGTTAATATCAACAGCCCATTTCTACGTTCATAAGAAAAAAAATGTTAAAATATAAAGGAAATGTCTTTTCAAATATCAAAGAGAGCTCACATCAAAGAGACAAGAAAATTTAGAAAGAGAAAAGATGCTAAAAAACTTACAGTGACGAGCTTTACACCACAGCTATTGGCACCAAGGCAAAGCCCAGTAGACATAGCACCACAACCAGCATACAAGTCTAGAAGTGTTCTCTCACTGCTAGACTTTTCTACTTCAGAACTATCACAACAATTTGTTGTTCCAGCAACATCAGCATCACTGGAAATGGTAGAACCAGATTCACAGGTAGCTGCAGTACTGTCTGAAGAACGAGAATTATAGCGTTAAAAATAATCGCAACCAAAATCTTAAGATAAAATGCCACAAAAATAAGCTGAAACTAGGGAATTGTTCTACTCGGAAAAACATACCAGGTTCTAAGCCTACAAAAGAACAATACGGCAACAAGTACATCTGATCATAGTAATAGTCACTCTTCAATCTAACCCTTTCCTTGATATCCAACTTCCCCTAAAAATCAGTAAGATGTGTTATATTTGCATATAAAGACTAAAAATTGCAGGTAGCCATTTATGCATAAACGTACTTTTAATGGTAGAAGTACAATTTTAAGTTTTTTCACAAGGCAATCAAGAGGATTATCATCCTTGATTTCAGAGAAGAATACACGTTTGTCATCAATAAGGTTATGACAACATCCTATGACCTGACAAAAGGAACAAAGAATTGAATGTCATATCAACAGTGAGTAACAAAATTCACAGACAAGCTTCTACAAATTTCCTACAATATCTTACCGTATCCTTTGCCCTGTAATACCATTGAGCAGTAAAATTTGATGAGCCATCAACTGCTTCAAACATCTCGATGATCTTGCAAATGAAATTATCTTCCCCCTCCCCAGCCTAAAAAATAGATGGTTGGTTAGGCCGAGGACATAGGTTGTATGATATATCTATTTGATAAAAGCTATTGTACAATTCCCAAGATATTGTCAACTAGTTTCAGAAGACTTAGTTTTTATAGTATGATATTGTCAACGCAAGATATAGTAGTATATAATTCAAAAGACAATACAGAAGTGAAGATAAAACAAGAATTCAACAAAAGTAAATAAATTCATGCTGCGGTAATTTACCGGTACTTATTTTATTGTTGTAAACTCACAGTAAAGTGAGTATGTCTCCATGAGATTATAGATATTCAAATTGTTGTGAAACGGAAAAAGGCTTAATTTGTTGGCATTCGATCATTGCTCAAACCAAAACCTAATAGAAATAGAACATACTGATTGGAAAGAAAGATCTTCAATTGATTCAGGATATCTCTTCTGGTTGTGCAACAAAGAAGCAGATAACATGCAGTTATTTACTTCGGCTCACATAAATTGCTTGTGTATCTCTCAAAAATAAAAAAA